TTCCCAACACAATCGCTGAAGACAAAGTGGGTGCATAAGCAAATGTGGTGAAGAAATCTGATGGTGCCCGGCTATCAAAAGATATAACATCTGGGATCTTAAAGGCTTGAAGGTAAACAAGCGGCCATCTAGCTCAGAAGCAACAAAGCCTGCATGGAAGAAGCACACCAGCTTGTGCAATCATGAAATGTTGAAGGGATGAGGTATCAGGTATCATCAGAACAAAAAAAATCATATCATTGTGAATGAGGGGAAGTGCAGAGTGGAGACCCAAAGCCCATCTGTAGGCAACTGGACAACTCCTTATGAATTGGTCATGGGGAGTAGATGAGCCAGTCAGGGTGCAGTGTAGCAACGATGAAACATGCAACTTTCCTCTAGTTCCTAAATGCTTCCTCCACCCACCCCACTATCATGATCCCAATACTACCCTACAAATCTGGCTAGACCAGAGGGTGTACACTGGTACAGATAGGAACTGGAAACACAGGGAATCCAGAGCGGATGATCCCTTCAGGACCAGTGGTGAGAGTGGCGATACCTGGAGGGTGGAGCGAAGGTGGGATGGAAAGGGGGAACCAATTACAAGGATCTACATCTAACCTCCTCTCTGGGGGACAAACAGAAAGGTGGGTGAGGGGAGATGTCGGACGGTGCAAGATATGACAAAATAATAATTTATAAAGTATCAAGGGTTCATGAGGGAGGTGGGAGCAGGGAGGGAGGGGTAAAAAAGGAGGAGCTGATGCTAGGGGCTTAAGTGGAGAGCAAATGTTTTGAGAATGACGAGGGCAATGAATGTACAAATGTGCTGTACACAATTGATGTATGTATGGATTGTGATGAGTTGTATGAGCCCCTAATAAAATGATTACTACTAATAAAAAAAGAGTTGTATGAGCCCCCCCAAAATGATTAAAAACGAAACAATCATTGATTTGGTTGTAGTTCTTAGGTGCCATCAACTTGGTTCTGACCCAGTAGGGACCCTGTGCACAACAGAGTGAAGCACTGCCTGGTTCTTTGCCATCCTCACAATGGTTCCTTTGCCTGAGCCCATGGTTGCAGCCACCGTGTCAATGCGTCTTGTTGAGGGCCTTCCTGCCTTTTCACTGCCCCTCCACTTGACCCAGCATAAAGTCCTTCTCTAGGGACTGGTCACTCCTGGTAACATGTCCAAAATATGTGAGATGAAGTCTTGCCATCCTGGCCTCCGAGGAGCACTCTGACCTTACTTCCTCCAGGGTAGATTGGTTTCGTTAGGTAATGCAACATAATGAGTTATTTAATATGGCTCTCCTAGCCATAGCCTTTTGCTATTCCCATTAGAAGACCCTGCTTTTTCTGATGGGTCGGGCTAAGAAGGTGAGGGAAGATACTGATTGTATTATATGATTCAGCTGTGAGGGATTGCCATCCGACGGTGTATAAAGTGAACCATCTCAGAAATAATGCATGGGGCATATCCTCTGGACCCAGAGACTCTTGCACAGTGAACCTCCTTGGTCCAAGAGACAGCTGTGACCACAGAACAGGGACAGAGGAGCAGCAGCAGCAGAACCAGAAGCCAGAGCATGAGACAGAGCAGTGGGTCTCCCAGCCCATGGAGCAAGTAAAGCTGGGTGCTTTGGGGCAGGAGGCCGGCTCATAGAGTGAGGAGCCTCTGGGCATGTAATTCTGGGAGCTGGGTTCGCCTGACTCATGGAGCTAGAGCTGGGTGCCTTTGAGTTGAGGCTTCCAGAGTGGCATGCCCTTTGGGCATTTATTAGCAGCTCTAAAGGAGCTGTGTAACCTGTTCAAAACCACCAGCTCTGCCGAGGGAGAAATACTCCCGTAAAAGAGTTACAGTGTCTGAAACTCACAGGAGCAGTTTGACTCTGTCCTCTTGGGTCACTGTGAATCGGCATCAACTCTACGGCAGTTTTTTGCTTTTGTTTTTAACGTCTTGCCTCTGGAGGGGTCAGAGAGCGAACCCCCCAAGATTCGGGCCCTTAGTCGCACCCTTCAGGCCTGGAACTGAACTCACTGCCCCATGTTAGAATCATTAACCACGCAAGATGACAACGACGTCATTTAGTTGACGGTATAGTCCGGATGCCAGGAAAGGAGGATGGACACAGGACACGCTGGGAGGACAGGGGTAAGCGATGGCCCCTGGAGGGATGGCAGGGCAAGCGTTGAAACAAAACGCGTATCAGCTGTGGAATGGAAAAAACTGATGGTCTGCTCGGTGGACCTTCACCTAATTCACAATTAAAAGTTAAACAAAATTAAAAAAAAAAAAAAGCAAATGGATTTCGAGTCAGTGTTCACTGTTGACTTAAAGTCTCCTATGCGGAGAGCTCCCTCCCCCTGACCTATAGCGGGGGGACCACTCCCTGCCCCCTCCCCCATCCACCAGGCCACCCTTGTCCTGCCAGCTGACCCCACTTCCCCTCCAGTAAGACCGAGTGACCTCTGTGTCCCCCTGGGTGCCTTTGTGCTTTTCCTAGGCTGTTCCCTCGGCCCC